TGATAAAACCCACCATTATTGGGTTTTTTGGGTTTTTTCAAAAATAGCAAATTTTCAGTTGAATAAGCGTCATTTTTACAGGAAATATCAGGAATTCTTCGATGATTCCCCAGTCCCTGGCTGTTCGCTGTCGGCGTGGAGGTCTGGGCAAGAACTATGTACCATGTAGAATTTAGAATTCGACATATCGATTGTGCCGAGTCTATAGAATCCTGTCAATATGTAGAATTCTACATGACACGGAGTCTCTGGACTGGCCAGCCAGAGGCGTGGATGCCAAGTGTAATTATTTATATCAAGTGGCTTTCTTTATTTTGTAAGGATATTTTATTTTTGCAATAAAAGTCATAATTTTTGTAATACTTTTGTTAGAGCAGAAACGGAGGCAGAAACTATAAATTAAATTTGAAAAAAAAAAAAAAAACAGAAACCCCCAGAAAGCCCGAAAAAAACCAAAAAAACCCAAAAAACCCATAAAAACCCAAAAAAACTCGATGGGTTGGACTTTTTCAAGAAAACCTGGGTTTTTTCCAACCCTGATGGCACCCCAAAATTTTTCGCCTTCGGCGATTAGCCTCCGGCGGCTGAGTGACCACGTCCTCAGGTTAAGTGCCCCCGCCCCCCGAAAAGCACGTCTTGATCCGCCACTAGCTCTATTCGCTTATTCTTAGAAATTCTTCAAGAAAATTTATATTTGAAAAGCTGAAATTGTGCCGTTGATTGAGAGCATTTATGTTATCAAAAATTTACATTATCTCTAATATTATGGCTACAAACTCCGAAAGTCAAATAGTCGTGCCGACTTTTGTCACTTGATCGACGACTTTCTCATTTCTAGTTCAATTTGATGCCAATCATGGTATCAAGCGGTTGTTGGTATCGAAGATGGCGCATAACAAAGGCGTTTATCTCATCGTCCGAATATTTATTTTATTTATTTTCTGCTCTAAAGTTTAAATAATAAAAACAGCTCATCTTTTCTTGCGAAGCCGAAACAGTTTACCCTTAAATTTTAAACCCCCAATCGGGTAACAGAGCTCGTCGAAAGGGTTGGACACTGAAAATAAAGTTTATTCTGGGACAGCGCGGGCTATTTTGAGCTTCTAATCTGCTAGAGAATTAGCGGTTGCAGTTTTTATCGATTAACTTTAGCATTGCAGGTTGCTGCGGATAAATGCACGGTGCCAAGAAATAATTTTGAGAAGAATATATTGTATGTATGTACTCGTTTGGAACTTCCATGCGCTTTATCCAGGGATTAAATGGGCTATAGTTCAACTTCGAAGCGGCTTCGAGCAGAGATGAATAAGTTTTATTTTGAAATTGATAGAAAATTTTCACTAATCTAAGGCCCCGAATTTTGCTGCGACCAGCTGAGCTGGTATTAATTTTTCCCAATAAAAAACCATAGTCGAGGAGCTTTTATGTATGTTTTCCTAATAAGTTTATTTCAATAATCCTATGGTATCGCAAATCAGACAGTTTATCCAATAATATTAATATGTAGGTATGAAAGAAACAATTATTATTAGTGGAAACAAGCTTTGAAAATGTTTTTCGTGATCAGATTAATTTCCAAATATACAGGGTGTTCCCAAATATCATGTGCAAACGGAAGGGGGTGATTCTTTGATTTATCTTATGACTAAAATTTCTAATAAACATAGGTCCGCAAACGCTTCGTTACGGATCTACAGGGTGTTGAAATTTTAATGTATTCATATTGAAAATGAGCAAGAATATGGCGGCAGGACCTCCATTGTCGCCACTATAGGTAGAAAAGGTTTATTGAGTCACTGTAGTTTCATCTAGCTAATAGGCACCTTGCATCAGTTTTTTTTATTGCTGATTTCGTTAGTCAATAAAAATAAGTCAACACGTGTTTTTTCTTTTTCTTGTTAATCAAGAATTGACGGAGATACAACGCTTTGAAATGTACTTATTTTTCCTATCTTATGACGTCACACATTCTCAATATATCTATATATACAAAACTTAATATTTGTATAACTTTCAGAATAATCATATTTGACAAAAATAAAAAAATACGTATCGACTTTTTTTCGGTTTCCTACAGTTTGCAATAAACAGTAATCAATTTAATTTTTCATGCAAGGACCCTATTACAGAGATTTGTTTTTCAATTATTTTCTCGATAATGGTCGATGATTCGAAGAAACTACAAGAGAACAAAAATTTTCTAAATAAAGTAGAAAAATTATTTTGCTTTTTGGAATCTACCAGCGGCGCACCGCAAAAAAGTTCAGGGGCAGAAAAGGGGGCATGACCCCTGAAAAACCATCACCCTGTAGATTGTGGCAAACGTTTGACATGTGCAATCATTTAGCTCCTATTGCGAAACCTAGACATTCCAAATTTGAGCTAAATCCCTCAAAAATTGAAGGACCTATAAAGAAAAAACTGAAAAAATATTAAAATTCCAACACCCTGTAGATCGGTACCTAACGGAGCGTTTGCGGGGTCACGTTTGTACAGTGTGTCCGAATTTGGATAGTTTTAATAGGAAATGTCAATTTCTGAGCCAGATAGAAAAAAATTAACCCCCCACTCCGAGGCTCGTGTTTTTTGATATTTTGATTGGTGCAAACCGCATTTTGATATCTACAACCGTTTAGCCCCTAGAGGGCGATTCTCGATTTTGAGCATACTGTGAGATCTTCATAACTTTTTTGTTTATAGACCCTGAGATACGGCCTGTTTAGTGGAGTAATTTTTTTTTGTCTGGCATTTTGAGGGATGAATGTGACTAGTTAGCTGATGAGAATATAAGTGGTTTTAATGCCTGCCTCCTGTTCGAAATGTCTACAGAATGTTTCGCCGGAAAACTCAATTTCGAACTGTGATTACCGTCTGGCGATTTTTCAGCGTTATTTTCACAACAAAACCTTTCATTCTCTCGATTGCCAGACAGAAAGTAAACGCGGAAGGTTCTTTTCTTTTCTCTTGGAAGTTGACACCCATCCCCATTTTTTCAGCTATTGAAAAGCATCTGATATTTTTCATGGGTGAATTATTTATTAATGTCAATCTTTTATTTAAAAACCAGAAAATTTGAGATCATTAAAAAAAATCTTCATGTAAATCAATTTTTTTCTTCTGCAAATTTTCGAACCGGAGGCCGGCATTAAAATCACCCATATTCTCATCAGCTTAGTAGCCACATTCAGCCCTCAAAATGTCAGACAAAAAAAAATGACTTCACTAAACAGCCCCTATCTCACAGTCTATTATGACAATAACTGATTTCTGTAAAAACTTCCTAGAAGCACTTTTTTAAGCAGAATTCAGTGACGTTTTTAGTTTTTTTCTATTGGGCCTCGATTTCAAGATATTGACCAAAATCCGATATTTTCCAATGGGACACACCTTTTGTTAATAGCTCTTTAGAAAGCTCTGCTTTTGCTGATTTCAATTATATAAATTTCGATAGGTTTATCTCTAACAGTTTTAGGAAAAAAAAATATTTATTTTTTTTTCTGAAGAAACAATGTGTTAAAAAAGGACTTTATATCTGTAAAGGAAAATGAGAAAGGTCTCTTTCTAACTCATTGTTTCTTATGACAAACACCGAAATAGTTTTTTTTCTGGAAAACTGTTAGAGGTAAACCTATCTTTCTAAAGAGCTATTAATATATAGGGTGTCCTATTGAAAAAAATCTGATTTTGGTCAATATCTTTAAATCGAAGCCCAATCGAAAAAACTGAAAACATCACTGAATTCTGTTTAAAAAAGTGCTCCTAGGAAGTTGGAAATCAGTTATTTTCATAAACAAAAAAGTTATGAAGATTTCACAGTATTGCTCAAAATCGAGAATCGCCCTCTAGCGGCTAAACGGTTGAAGATATCAAAAAGCAGTTTGCACCAATCAAAATTTCAAGAAATTTGAGCCCCGGAGTGGGGGGATCATTTTTTTGTATCTCGCTCAGAAATTGACGTTTCCTATTAAAACCATCCAAATTCGGACACCCTGTACATGATATTTAGGAACACCTTGTATAAATAAACGAAAACGAAAATAGAAAATATTATTGTTCTATTTCCTATGAATTAGGTTGCCATCAAAAAAACATTGAAAATTGAAATTGAGAGGAAACGCTAAGAACTTTAGAACTTATTTAAAGTACTTAACTGGCAAATCGGTCTCCGCATGTTTGGATACTTTTATATTATTTTTAGACTTAAGACCTAGTTGGTGATTTTAAAATTAAACATGACATTTTCAACACTTCTGCCAGTACGCCGGGTGGCTAGGCTATGCTTCTGAGTAATCTTAACTTCAAGTGTAGATTTACGTTATCTATTTTGAAATAGATAGTAATTTTCATTAGGTAGGTATAACAGATTTTTCTCAGCAATACATATTTCTATATGAATTTAGTCAGAGGCAAGTATGAAACGGAGGAAAAGGCGAATAAGGTAATTTGTTACATCATTATTGTCTCGGAAATTTTTGTTACAAGACAGCAATAAACCAGTGACGAAACTTTGATTTGGTCCGATATAATCAAGTTGTCTAAAAAAGCTGCAGATAGTCAACTACGATTTTCTGTTCATTGACAAAATAATATCTAAATAATAAATATCAATCAGGTAGGAAGGTACCTGCGTAGCTAAATTCTGAAATTTTGATAAAGTAAGGAAACTAAGTTTCAACTGAGATACTTGACTCCTCTTCCTGTATGTATAGAGTTTTATGGTGTCATTTCCAAAGGTATGGGGCCTATTGAGCTAATTCCACTAGAACAAAAACTCAAAATGTGTCTCTTTTGATCAATCGGTTACCCTGTGTTTTGCGATTTTTATAATATACCATTAGATATTTAAGTTGGATATTTTTGGTTGGGTCAGTTCAACATAATAGCTGACATATTTTGTGCCTCCCTAGACCCAGATCGATATCTGTGAAGGCTACTATCAAAGTCTAATGATGGCTTGGATGGATTATTTTAAAAAAAATATCATTAAATAAATTTCTCACCTTTCAAATCAGTCGCGTTGGTTTGTGGACTCATAATATCATTTAAATAGTGTTCCAGACCTCTCATATTTTCTAAAGGGCTATTTCCATTTGCACTAACAACACCGCAACGATCCTGTAACAACAACAAAAAAAAACATTTAAACATTAAACACAATATAGCAAATTCAACGTTCTTTGTTTCATTGTTTCCTAGCTTAAAGCAGGATAATCTCAAAATTTGAGAACGATCGACTTGAAGCAAATGCTGCAACCCTTTTCAATCACGATTGTATCGATTGGAGTCTGGTTATATTGTGACGGAAAGAGAAAAGAGCTCTATCCACTTGTCGTTATTCATTTTGAAAAAAAAGCAGCATTTTTTGGTTATAAAATGCACTTTATTTCGTTCCAGTTTTTGTGCGAAACAGTGTGTCAGTTTTTAAAATTCTGAAGTTTGATAACAAACTATAGAGTTTTTATTCACTATCTCGAGAACGAATGAACCGATTACAATTTATGTATTTAGAGCATTGAAAACCTTCAAAATAGGTGCCACTTGACCTACAGTCCCATTTGAGATTTTGGAGTGGGGGGGCGTGGGGCCGAGGGAATTTATCCCATCATGAGATTTACGACAAAAAATGCCCCCCCTCGCAAAATCAGTTGCGGTCTTTTTGCGTTTTTCATAACACATTCTTTCTTATTAGGATGTAGATATTCTCTCTTGGGTTCTGTCATAAAAATGGATGTTTTTATTTCCTTATCAATGCAAACAACGTTATCAGATTTTCCATCAAATATCAAAATTTTGTTACATTGATATACCTACATCATAGGTATCTACAATCGTATGACATAAAATGCAAAAAGAAGTTGCTTTTACTTTAGTATTATGAAAACAGATAATGAAAAACGTTGTTGCTTAGCGATTTTCTAAAAATTCTACCGTTTCCAAAATAAGGAATTTATGCGGGACTTTATGGACTCACTGTATATCCATAGATACATACGTTAACTGCCTATATTCTTCCCCTATGTTATCCAGAAAAAAAAATCTATTTATCAACAAAATGAAAAAATAAAACAGCGAGGAAGGCTCGCTATTTACCGAAAACCCGCGTCACTTCTAGCTTTCCAGAGTAATAAATTTGAAACTTTTCGACCAGAATGCGGCTGTGGCAAATACCCAATTTGAAAGCATTTTAAAAATTTGATGCTTTGTTAGAATAACGGACGGTATTATATCGAGAAGAAATTTTTAAAAGAAAAGATTTATTTTGGTACGAATAAAAATATTTTTTTTTAACTTGTCGCGATTTTAAATAATTTTGAAAATACAATAATAGGTCTGCCCCCCTAATGTTTGGTTGCCCCCTCTGGAATGAAAATCTGGTTACAGGCCTGCGGTCACCGCTGATTCGCTAGCCTAACGACGATAGACTGGATAGTCATAGCGGTAACGTAACTATACCGATACGCATGCGCAAAGGTATCGCAAACACTTGGCAAAAAATTTTGCCACATAATGCCGGTATTCTTTCGATCTGAACACTGAACAAACTGATTGTGATCACATGAGGTTTGTTCAAGAGACGTCAAAAAAACAGCTGGGGCCAATGAAATCGTTGTAGCACCGGATGAAAATTGTTTGAAACAAACCTCAAGTGCCTTCGAGCAGTTTGTTCAGATCGAAAGAATACGCCTAATATTACATATGATGTCATTGATGTATCCCAATGACGTCGAAATATATATAGACCCAGCACCCCCACTCTCCACTCATTTAAAATATTGATAACCGATCAGTTATTGTTTTAAAACTGAAACGAGTGCGAGAAAGAAAGATATTCAAGCGCGGAAAAAACGGCAAGATTTTGCAGCTCTTTCAAGATTGCAGAATTACAAATACAAAATACAAATTCAAATATCCCAATTTCTTACAAATTTGGCGCTGCCTAACCATTTTATTTTTGTAAAATCACACAAAACTCAGCTTTACCGATTCTTAAAATTCCGACCTCCTACAACAACGCTGTCAACTAGTGTCAACGTTACAGTTGATATGCAACTAGCAACATACAATGGGCTCTTTCACTAATTTTTGAAATTGGCATATTTGGATAAAACAACGAAAAACAGAATTTTCTGTATTTTTACTTTTGAAAAATTCATAGTCCTTCTTGAGAAAACAGAAAAAAAAGAAATACCTACAAATAAAAACCCAGAATTTATTTCTATGACGTCGCAGCTCGCAATTTGACCGCGTTGCCACTAATTGTCAACATTGAAAATTTGTAATAGATTTAATTCTGAAATGTTCGCAAAATATCATGAAAAGTAGTTAAATTAATCACTTATGGATTCAAGATTTTATAACTTTTTTATTGAAATTATGCTTAAACACAATTTAATACAATTTTTTATGTTTAGTTTTATTTTATTTTTTTTTTACGTTGCACTACATTTAGTCACCACCGACAACAGCGCATTCGAACCTTTACCTGCTTTTTAACACAGCCGAGGCGGTCAGCTCCTTGCAACAACAAGCGAAATGAAAAATATTTATGTGACGTCAGCAAATCGGCGCGTTTTAAATCATTTCGAATTTCGCCAATTTCAAATGCCTGTGAAAAACTTATTTAACCTTGTAGAACATTTTTTTTGGGTATATATGCCTAAAATAGTCCCTCCTTTGGGATTTTATACTTAAACTACGTATTTAAATTTTAGTGAAAGAGCCCATTGGGAGGAAGGCAGAGTTGTCGCTTGAATATTCGTTCGTGTTTATATTCTAAACTAGAAGAATATGGCTTCGAAATGTTTTAAAAAGAAAAACTCTATAAAAGCAAATAACTTACTATAGTTACCATTATTGTATTGACTAGATTTTTGTAAATAAGAACATTCAACGTATCAACAACTACTAATCAAATAAAACTGGCAACTTCGCGACAACAATGAATACCTACTCGGCCGGCCAAGACATACAAAAGACCAAATAATCTGTCTACTTTTAATGGCTGATTGCAAAAAAATGTGTGTATATATGTTTCGACGTCATTGATGTATCCTCTTGTACAAATAGGGCAAGAGTTTCCAATTCCAATCCGCAACACGAATAACGGATAAGGGTGAAGCATTTATAACAAAAAGCAGTACTCATTTAAAAATTTCAATGATAAGGGAAGATTTCAAGCCCCTTACTTCATTACTTCGTTTTGACTTCCTTATAGCATAGGCTTGTGTAGTAGTGAATCGACTATCGCCTAACTTCACTAAATGTTGCTTATGATACCCAAGTTGTTTGGTTTTAAATTCGAAATTTGCCGTATTCGTATTTCTACAAGTCTTTTAATTATTTTATTAAATTTGAGAATATGTTGCAAAAAACAATAAAAACTGGTTTTTACTAATCATTCTTTTTCGAAAAAGTTTGACAAATTCCAGAAACTATGGCTGCTTCTGTTGTGCGGAATTCTATTCGAGGTTACGCTCCACGAAATGTTAACTGTCGGCATGTATTTTCAGTTGTTTTAAAAACTTTTCTTTTGCTTGGCGTAGTTGAAAATACGGTTATGACTCAAAATTCGGGCCTTATCCTTTTCATCTTCTACAGGCAATACCAAAAACCTATAATATCACCAGTTTGAAGCCTCGCATCTGGAAATTTTCATCTTGAAAGATAAATATTTATTCCATCATGTTTTGATATCCATTTATTGACATATTCTCCTTAAAAATATGATTTCTCATTTCCCATATTATACTATACACCTATATATAAAACAGTGCTCGAGAAAAATTCTGTCATTTGTTTTTTGGAAATTATATAGGTTCTGCAGGATCTAGAACATCAAAAAACATGAATCATCTACAATATAAACAAATATGAGATAACCACGTGAGCTTAAAACTAGAAGTAGGTACCTATACCTACCTACTTACAGCCATACGTTTTTTTAAAAATGGACATCACACATTTAACGTCAGTTAATTGGCACATATATAATTAATTATTGGTATCTACAATAACAAATTTAGGGTAGATTGCCATAATTGATCGAGTTTTAGGTATTGATTGCAATTGGAAATTTGCTATTTCTCCTCAGCCCATCAGTTTATCTCTTAACTGAAGGGCTATTTTGCCGGCTCTGTGAAGTAGGCAGGCACATTTGAAGCACAAAACTTAAATTTTACGTTATCGCTTTGTAAGTGCTTCAATGTGCTTCAATCTTCAAATTTGTATTTTCGGAGATATTTCGGTTTTTTGAAATCGCCTGCTTACTTCACACCCAGCAGGAACAAGGGAAGGACCAACGTTCAGTTACAGATAAATGGTCAGTGCTGCTTTAGTGCTTCAATCTGCTTCAATCCCCAAATTAGCAACCCTTAAATTTTCAGAGATATTCTGGTTTTTAGAAATCGCCTGCTTAGTTCACACATAGCAGGAACATTCGAAGCACCAACGTCCAACGTCTAGTAGTTGTAGATAGATGGTTAGTGCTTCATTAGTACTTCAATGTGCTTCAATCCGCTAATAAGTCATCTTTATATTTTCAGAGATATTTCGGTTTTTAGAATTCGCCTGCTTAGTTCATACACAGCAGGAACATTGGAAGCACCACGTACAGTTGTAGATAGATGGTAAGTCCTGATCGAAATCCTGATCTATAATATTTGTGATAAGATGCATATAACGGCTGCTCAAAAAAGAAACTAAGGCCCAGTTTATTCGCCTTCTGATAAACTATCAGGATTATCTGACGGATAAAAACGCAATCTATAATCCTATTGGTCGGTTAGTTATTCGTCGACTAATAGGATTATTGAATGGCAAATTTGTCTCGTAGAGGGTTACCAGTAAGTTTATCGGAAGATGAATAAACCGGCCGAAGCATTAGGAAACACTTAGTATCTACTAATTATATTTATAAGTCATTCAGACTACAGTTTATGCTGTCCATATTCTCGGTTCTCTGCCCCGGTAGGGTGAAATCAGCAGGCGATTGCAAAAAGTCGAAATATCTCTGGAAGTCTGAGTTGTTAAAAGCTGAGGTGGTGCATCATGAAGCACTAACGAAGCTCTTTAAGTTTATCTACAATTGAACGTTGGTGGTTTTCTTATTTCTGCTG